TTTATACAATTACATACCTGTATTAATTTAATACAATCCGAAGAATTCCAACAGCGATAACGACGATCACGCTCCGTCGGATATTTTAGACGACAATAATCTCTTTCATCTGTTGAACCTAAACAATCGATGACATTATCCCCAGCTTTATCGATCGGCATACATTCTAAATCACCGGTATATGGTCGATGGCAATAATGTTTCGTTCTATTAAGGGTCATTCGCTTATTAAGTCTTAAAAGCAAGACTACTCGTCCTGTTTTCTAACATCCATATTGGACAATCGCTCGCCCCAACATACAGACATATAATGAAAAACTGAGTTGAATAAATGTTCCGCTTAGAAGTCTTTATACTGTAGGTGTGGGCTACGATCTTGAAAAACGCGACAAAAATCTCACCGTCTTTCTCGCACCACACAATATGTGCTTTTCATGTTTTGACAAAATTGCTAATCACATTCATAGTATAAAAACTTTAAAACATTGTCAATTACTGCGGTGTTGTTCCAGGAATATTGCCCACTTGCTCCCAAACAGGATATATCTGGAGGATTCAAAGTTAGATTGTATTTATGGTTGGATAGTTTCGAGTGCGTTGTTTCAGAAGATGTATGTACTGTACTGTACAGAGAAAAGGTTTTTGAAACAGTTAACAGTTAAAAATCTGAGTTTGTTGAATATTATCAAAATTGGGAGTGAAAACGGAAGGTCTTTTTCCCGACCTAGTTGAGTGAAAGACTCTCTCCACAATCACAAATTTTACATCCTGCCGTGCAACATAGTAGTCGCATTCTGTACGCATTTTAAGAAAAGCTTGATGTGCATGGTTGAGTCTTACTTAGTTATCTCCGCTCTTGATTCTAATACGGAGTTATTCTCACGTTGGAAGCTCATTCTCACACTATAGATATCATATGTGAAGAAGTATCACTAAGATATATACTCTGATAGGAAGAAAAAGTTCAAAATTTTTGTTTGAAAGACAATAAATGCAAAAATCAGACTACCAATAGAAACTGCTCGAACAAATAATAGATTTTCCTGTGTGATACTCCACTGTTTCAGCTTGACAGCAAACAGTTTTTGAAAACACTGTTCATACAACTAAATATATTTTATTTATGTCGATTCCCATATTTCTTTCCAAACTGAGTCCGTGGGAAACATATACCGCTATGGCATGTAGGCTGTCCCAATGCTCGAATTCTTTTTTATCACCCCTCGATGTTCAATTTTGAGTCTCGCTACTAAATTGAAACGATATAAATGAATGACTTCTTACATTCATATTTTAAAAATCTCTGTTCATAGTAAGAACTTGGACAATATAATTCATCTAGGCCATTTTTACATTGCCAATGATGATTACACTTTTTATGAAGTGTATCACACGGCCATTGTTCATGGCACATTAATTCATCTTGTCCATTATCTAAATCATTGATACCATCGCATATTTGTTGATAATAAAGGTTCATATCTGTTTTTCGACCTCCATCATAACATTTCAGAGGAGTACAATGTTTTGGAAATTGATCTTCACCGTTCAAACAATCGACGTTGTTATCATTAATCGATGTTTGTGGTATACATTTATATTCCAATGTACATTCATAATCATTTATTAAATTAAATGAACACGTATTATTAATAGTTTCATCTGTTCCATCATAACAGTCAATTTGACGATCTAATAAACGATATTTGGATATACATTTTGTTGTATTAGAACAATGAAACAAAGATGGTGATAGACAATTATCATTAGGTCCTACTGTTAAATGAGGCAATGAACATAATTTAAATAAATTTTGTATTTCAGTCGTGAAGATATTCCAGTCTATCCCCAGTGATCCATCTATACATGTTGATTGACTGTTATTTGTTGTTGATGCTAAAAAGCTGCATTTATTCGAGTTAAAACAAATATACCTTGATATCCGATATTCATGTAGATGGTAAATTAATTGAACGTGGCCATTAAATATTGATGATGATGGAAAAGAAAACGTTGCTGGGCATTCCCATGCATCATTGTTAGCGTCTTCACAATCTACACTAAGAATAGCTTCAAAATTTAAGCGGCATATTATGTAATTCCAACATTTATATGATAAATGTTGATTATTGATGGTCGACAATATCGTTTTTGTATATAATAAATCACGTCCGTTTTGACAGAGTGGCTCTGTTGTTGGCGCATAATTTGAACTATAGCCACCATTCGCACACGACATTTTCCCGTCGTCACAAACACAGTAATGTTCTTCACAAACGAAAAATGATACTCTATCTCCTTTATAATTCCGTGTAGGTGGATCAGAATTATCTGTGCACATCGGATATTGTCCACTTACATATAAATTTTTATCGATACACTGACCATTTTTACAACGATATTGTGTTTCTTGATAACATTCATGTATTTCTAATTGCCAACAATCTTGTTCATCTTCACCATTTAAACAATCAAGTTTACCATCACATATTTCACGCCAATCAATACACATTGGAACATGACCACGATTGCATTCTTTCAAATAAAGATAGCATGTACCATTTGTTATTGTTAAAACATCTGAGGGTTTAAAATATGTTTGCATTTGAATTTTTTCATTAATTATATCAGCGAATGTTTTATCAGTTGAATAAAATGTATATTGACAATACACACCAAACCATGTGAAGTCATTCGCTTAGTACGGGCAAGAAGAAAAAAGACATCTTTCAATACTCATGTCTCATTCATCAGGTTGGCAATGAGCTCATAAATCATCTCTTTACTTTAAACATATTGTAGAAAACGGTCAACAAATTACTATAGTAGTGAATAGCATCGGTGTTCATACTAAACAACGGCCAGAATTGAAAAATTTGGTTGATTAAGAATTCAATAGACTGAAATTTATGATTATGGGTATCATTTTAACGCTTTCAAACTTGCTGAATTTGACAGCTATGTGCACGTACATAAAAATCAGGTCGAGCTGTCCAGCTGCTTTCTTAGAAAAATCCCCCCGGACACTTGATACCACATTTTCATACATGTTCCAGTGACCTCTCATAAACGATTATAGATGGAGCCACCAAAATTATACCGCAACTGTTCTCGAACATATCCAACATTTCCTGAAATTTTCGCTCAGATCAGACGTGTGGTTATCGAGATAGATATTTTAACCGGGAGATCTTATAATCTTCGGTAGAAGCCGATTTTCAGCGGTCTTTTACAGATTTAGCAATAAAAAAAAAAAAGTAATTTTAATATTTTTTCCTATAAATTCCAAAAACACAAACAGAACAGATTTTTTGCTGTCAAGTAATGAGGCTTCAAGATCGCCTTCAAGGAAAATCAAGCTATGTATTCAACAAGTAAATGGGCAGTATGCGTGCATTTAAGGACACATAGTAATTAGTTACGGTTTATTCATGTTTCTTCGGCTTTTCTTAACTTTCTTCTTGTATTTTTGTGCATTGCATACTGCTACAATGAGTAAAAGGTGTCAAAAAGAAGTTGATCGGGCTTCTCGATATCTAACCCGCAAGTCGGTAGTATCGACGCGCTACATTTCGAAGTTTGGTGTCTGTGAGCGATGTCTCACTAAATTTGAGGCCAATAATGAGAACAGATCGTTGGTCGAAGCTGAATTCCTTTTGGTAAAATTTTATACGAAATCCAAATACACATACAAACGATAACAAATGACTGGGTGAACGATAGGCCACGGCGTCTAGAAGGTTTCTTTTTAAAAATGAGTAAAACACATGTATATATATCTACGGAAAAATAGCAACAAGGGAAGAGAATCATAGATGTATATGAACGAGAGAGAAAACGAATGAATGTAGATAGGTATCCACCTGCTAAAAACCGACCCTTTTTGCTTTTTTCGCAAATAGACTGTATGAAGAGTATGACATATTAAATTTTTCTCATAACTGAGTTCTGTAGAGCAAACGTTTCTCTATAAAATGGGATGTGGCGAATCTTTTTCTCTTTTCCTTGCAATCGCCGTTCTACGAACAGCCCCATTTACCAGTTTCGGTTACATAACCGAAAGCGATAAATGGAGCTCTTATTAAATATTCTTTTTATAGGTGCTGGATCGAGATAAAGATTGCTCCTATAGCATTTTGTAAATGTATGTTATAAAAAACTCACGAGGGACCAATTGCCAGCTGCCTTCCCGCCAAATTTCGATGATCTTCTGCTGACAGATACTGTACTGTATCCTAGGTTAACCATAAAAGGATTTGGTTGCATGGCTCTTGAAGACACGTTTTCCTGGATAATCACTTTTTCAGAAATTTACAAGAAAAGCCCTGAATTAACTTCTTATTTCTGTAGCTTTGAGCTGATAATGAACATTTAGGGCTTTTCTTATAAATTCTATAACTTTGCAAAGAAAGCTCATGTAGAGCTGGGAGATGTCTCACTTTAACCAGAAATTTGCGGGTTACAATTGTGGCTTATGAAGAAAGGGTTTTAGTTATTTTGTAGAGTTTCTGAAAAACTCGTTTTCAGAAAACCGGATCTTCAAGACCCATAAAACCAAATCCTTTTATGGTTAACGCTAGGACACTATATAGTATCTTTCGGCACCAGATAATCGGAATCGGAGGGAGGCAGCTAGCGATATTCCTTCGTCAGTTATGAGAAAAATTTAATATGCCCTACTCTTCGTACAATTTAGTTTTTGCGAAAAGAGCATAAAAAAAGCAGTTTTTAACCGGTGCATGCCTAAATGTAGAATACAAGGGCTTAAACGAAGTAAGAAAATAATTCTAAAATAATACATGTACAGACCTTAGAGATCACGCGGCGAAACATGCGAAAGGCCTGGGCCTGTAAGAGTGTCGATAAATATCCTTGCTTCCACTCCTTAAACGAGCTCTGAAGCTAGGAAAAAGACAACTGTTTTCTTTTTTACATACATAAAAGCAACACGAAAAAATAGACTTCCAAAAAAATTCGAAGAAATAAATCAAGTAAAACAAATGTATTCGCGTTATCATGTACAATCATTAAGAAATAATAGATTTGTCGGTGATATCAGAGATGAAAGGGATCAAATTGAATGGATGAAGGTAGACAATAATATTGATAAAAATTTGATTGATTATTTTAATTTTCATGTATCAAGAGCAAACGTGGATAGAAAGACTAACTGGTTTATTGATAATATACGTATCAGATTTGTAGATAGATATTTATCTGATGCGAATGAACTTGGATATATTCGATTTTTAATGGACTGTACTAAAATGGAACAAAATCCAAAATATATAATTACAGCTTATACAACTAACTCAGATTTCTACATAAAAATGAATCAACTATTAGTAACAGTAGCAGTCAATTGGTTACATGATCGATATGGAAATTATGGTGCAGGTCGACGATCATATTTTTATCTTCTTAAAGGGCATTCATCATTAGAGCCTTACTCATTTAAAGGACGTGTATATCGTGGTATGTGTGTAGACAAATATTCTTTAAAACCATATTTAACTGCTGGTAAAATAATGAATAAAGCATTTCTCTCAGCATCAAAACTTCCTTCGATAGCTGAAAATTTTGCTATCGACAGTAAAAATAATTTACAGCACACTCAATCTGTTTTATGTATATATGAAATAAGAAAACATTAAATTTAATGCTGTAACAGCATTAAATATTGGAACCTTATCGGTATATCCATATGAACAGGAAGTATTAATAATGCCATATTCATTATTCAAAATTGTCAATGTCACATATCATCCTCATCCTTCAATGATTCATATCAAAATTGAGTTACGCGAACAATTATAAGCGCGATCGGAAGGAAATACACAAATGAAATGTACATGTCTTAAAAATGAGCACAGATTAACCTTAATTCAGATTTGAAAACACGAAACATTAAGGGACGGGAAACCATTTCTGCAAGAAAATGGCTCAATATAATTTCTAGTGAAAATGATTGAAAATGCTTCCTATTTTACTTCCCGACACTTCTGACTTTAAAAAAATGCGTTTTGGTCGTCTTGAAAAAACTTTTTCATGCTTGCTGGCCATTTCTGCGCTAAATAATGACCTATAAATGACTTTCTTTTAAAATATGCCCTTATGGGACAGTATTCGAAATGCTTTCCTAATATGATGATTTTGATTCACTTTAAAGGAACACTTCTTTGACGCACGACACATGTTTGATGTTTTCCTGAACTTTAATGTAATTCACAAAGGTACGACAGTTTTAGAAAATCGAGAAATTAGCTAGCGTCCGTACTGTCATCGAAAACTGTTACGAATGATGCAGATGGCCTTTGTCGTGTTTCTGTTTAGTATCATTGATATGTTAAGAACCAGATTCCTGAAGCTATATGTTGGATTATAAGACAATACTTTCTCGCTACGAATGTGCCCGAAAACAGCAACCTGTAAGAGACTGAAGATTTATGCAGGCATGGGCGAGTCCGAGTCCGGACTGGAAGATTTTTTGGCGGACTCGGACTTGGACTCGGACTGGAGATTTTTTTAAAGGACTCGGACTCGGACTTGAGTTTTTGTATTTCGAAGCCCGATCGA